GTTATTAGTGCAGGCATTTGCTGGTCGTCCGGTTTTCGGGGGCCGGGTAGGAATTTTTCGCCCCTTCCTGATTGGCGCTGGGAAGGGGTGTTTTCGCCTACCCTGTACTTCGGCAGTGATGCAGGTGTTTTGAAGGGTGGGTCGTGTAAGCTAGATGGTCACTTTTGTGTAGGCAGGTTGCTATGCGGTATACAGATTGCGGTCCGGTGAGCACCAGCCGACACCCATATTTGGGTTGAAGGGGTCCTGTGAGTACAGTCTTTGTGCCTTGCGGCATGGGGCGGGGAAAACGGACTGCCTTCGGGACGGCCCTGTTTAGGTCCTCTCTTTGAGCCTTGCGGCTTGGGGGATGGGGCTACAGGGTTGTCTTGCAATGGCTAGCCGGCCGGATGGTAGCCCCTGCAGTGGGCTCCCACCCGGGGCAGGGTGGCTCGCCCTATTGACAAGGTAAGGGAGGGGTCCTTGACCTCTGGCCTTGACCATAACGCAATCTGTTTTGCCCTTGCCTTTGGTTCCAGTTAAGGTTGTCAGTTAATAAAGTGGCCCTATATTCAAACCCAGCACTTGTGTCTGCCTCGTTATTCCGGCTTGGGGGGCAAACTACTACTTCCTAAATCCATTGTCTTAAATTGATCTAGAAGCTTTGACTCTGGGTGCGTTCAGACGGCTCTATAGATCTGAGTGAGGCATGGGTGCCTCATGGATTTAAATGTAACATCCAGACATCAACATCTGGGAAACATTAGTCTTCCATGAGCATCCCATTTTGCCACGCCTTGGAGCTGTACTAAAAAGATACTACTTTTAATCAGGAGTTTTCGGTTCCACTTGCGGACTTTCCCCCGTCTGATCATTCGAGCACGCAATTAAAAATGGTGCCCATTGGGGATGGTCTGACATCAGACCATTCCGAACGGGCACCATTTTAAAATAATCTTGATTCTGCATATGTGCGAATAAACAAGGTCGCAATATCATGCCTATTGGCATGCGCAAAATGTTTTTTTTGTTTTTTTTTTAAACCCTACTACACATGCCTCCTTCAGTGGACAGTGTCTAGACAATCCACAGTGGAAGCAGCGCGTGATAAGGTGATTCCCCCGGGGGTTAGTCTGGTCGTGAAAGGATGGATTAAAAAAATCGGGATCAAATTTGAGCCTGCATAATGGTGGGATTAGCTGTCTGTCTGAACGCATCCTCTGTGTAGAATTACACTGAAACTTTGCAAACTTCAATCCGTCCTCCTAGTATATCTGGAGAAGATAAGGCAAAGAGACAAAAAATGTTTTTAAAGCTCTAAGCAATTTTAAACAAGCATATCATTTTAGCCCTGTCCTGGATAGCTCACCCTAGTCCAATCTCATTTGATCTACGAAGCTAAAAAATGTTGGCTCAGACTAGTATTAGAATGCTGGACCACCAAAATATTCCAGGGTTGCTATAGAGAGGCAGGCATTGGCCAACCACCTATAAACATCTCTTGCCTCCAAAATCCTACAGGGTTGCCATAAATTGGCTACGACCTGACAGCAAGTCATTGTAATGATTTCTCGAATTTGAAGCTTGCAGATATTAACCAAAGTTCTTTTGTCTCGTGCATAATCTGGTTTCCCTCCCTCTAACTTTGCTGTAGTCTTCAATGTTTGGTAGTTGCTATTAACATTCATTGGACTTTGATGTGCCATTAGTTCCTGTCTTCTTCTTGGATAGACCCAGCCTCTTTCGAGATGTAGTGAAGCCTGTCAGCCCGGTTTTCAGAAAAGAAAGAAAGAAGGGGAGCAGTTTTGCTGCTATGAATGTGTTCCTTGCCCAGAAGGGAAGGTTTCTATCCAGCAGGGTAAGTGATTCTGACTTCCATAGGAGCTCTGCAAGCACACAAATGTCAGATATGAGAGATGTAACCAGTGGAAGTGAGGCAAATGTCATAGTCTTGGGAAGGCTGTTAGAACACATACACTTGTATCGCATGAAGAACCCACCCCCCAATTTCAGTCATTGATAACTCCAGTTAACATGATCCCAAGCAACATGGCTGGGGAAAATCTCCCCTCCCTTTCACAAATGGTTGGATGATACTCCCTAGCACAAGCTTTTTTGATCCTGCAGGCACCATTGGAATTCTGACACAGGGTACTCGGAAGCATCAAAGAAATGGCTACTGCAGAAGGCAGAACCAAGCACAAAATATCAGGGAATGGGGTAATAAATAACTCTAATAGTAATTTGTCAACAAAATAACAAGGTGTTTTTAAAATAGAAAGTGTTGTTTGAAATCATTTGCAATCACAGATTAAAGAAACTTTTGCTGGAATTTCAGCTGCTCCAAAAGGAGAGCCAGTTTGTTGTAGTGGTTAAGTGTGTGGCCTCTAATTTGGAGAACTGGGTTTGATTCCCCACTCCTCCACTTGCAGCTGCTGGATGACCCTGGGCAAGTGATAGTTCTGCCAGAGCTGTTCTGAAAGTGCAGTTTTCAAAAGTGCTGTCTCGGCTCCACCGACCTCACAGGATGTCTGTTGTCCTGAGGGAAAGGGGGAAACATTTGTAAGCCGCTCTGAGACTCCAAGTGAAAGGTGGGGTATAAATCCAATCTCCTCTTCCTCCTCCTCCTCCTCCTCCTCCTTCAAAATGCACAGCCAATCACATCTTCAGAAGTATTTAAGTATCTCTGCTGGGCAATACCTCCAAATTGCACCCACGGTTGCCAGTAAAGTTCTTCATGGGTGTTATGGTATCCTTGGCTACCACATTGGAGATCTCTGCCCTAGTGTATAACCAGTTGCTGGAATTCAGCATGAATAATATCTCACACATTGAAGGGAGCCAGCAGATTTATCTCTTAGTTTCACGTGAACTGAAACTGAGATGGTCACTCATCCCTTTTCCAGATATGAATGACTGCTATAGTTGTCCAGAAGATCAATATACAAGCAAAGGAAAAAATCAGTGTATTCCCAAGATGATAAACTTTCTCTCCTATGAAGAACCAGTGGGGATTTCTCTGGCTTCAGGTGCTGTAACCCTGTCCCTAATCACAGTTTTGATATTAAGAACTTTTATTAAGCACAAAGACACCCCCATTGTCAAAGCCAACAACCAGAATCTCACCTATGCTCTCCTCATCTCTCTCCTGCTTTGCTTCCTGTGTTCTTTCCTCTTCCTTGGACGACCAAGCAAGTTGACCTGCTTTCTCAGACAGTCTGCTTTTGGCATCATCTTCACCATGGCACTTTCTTGTATCTTGGCCAAAACCATCAATGTGGTTGTAGCTTTCATGGCCATCAAACCAGGGTCCAGCATGAGGAAGTGGATGGGGAAAAGACTGACCATCTCCATTATCCTTTCCTGCTCCATTATCCAAATGTGTATCTGTACCATGTGGCTAGGAACCACTCCCCCATTCCCAGATATGGACACAAAGTCCATGACCACAGAAATCATAGCAGAATGCAATGAAGGGTCTGTGGCCATGTTTTATATTGTTCTGGGCTTCATGGGATTTCTATCCTTCATATGCTTTACTGTGGCTTTCCTTGCCCGGAAATTGCCAGACAGTTTTAATGAAGCCAAGTTCATCACCTTCACCATGATGATATTTTGCAGCGTTTGGCTGTGTTTTGTTCCAACCTACCTGAGCACCAAAGGGAAATACATGGTAGCCGTGGAGATTTTCTCTATCTTAGTCTCTGGTGCTGGGTTGCTGTGCTGTATATTTTCCCCAAAATGCTATATTATTGTTCTGAGGCCTGATTTGAACAGAAGAGAACAAGTAATAACAAGAAAGCATTAAAAATAATGTTATCCCTTGTCTGACACTTGTGTCCTGATTACCTTTGTGGGTGGGGGCTCTGATTTAGAGAAGGGAACTATCAAAAAACATTGGAGACTATGAAGAGGTAGCACACCCTTTCTACATTTGAAATCCTAAAGTAAGCAATGTGATGTGGCAAACAGCCAGCTTGGGACCAGGGCATGGTATGAGATACACACCCGCCTTACATAAACCTCTACCAAGATAGCCATAAGTCATTAGGTTAGTTGCCCACCATGAAACGTTCTCAGAACTCCTTGCCAGGCAGACTTAGAGAGTGTAGTGTTTAATGTTTGTAGCTGCAAAGTAAAGAATGGGCACTTAGCACCACTGGGAGAGCACCTAGCAGGAACACTCAAGAGGGAGAGGTAATATGTCTAATTGGGAAAAAACCACAACTATAACAAGTTCCCTTTCTTTGGAGACTGGAGCACCAATTTTGGGAGGAGAGAGAAAGCTAGGACCACCATCCTTCAGACACTGGGCTGTGGGACAACTAAAGCAGCATGTGACTCAAAGTCTGCAGAGTGGGTGGGGTGGAGCCAAGGGGGTGGAGCATGCAAATGGCCGGGGGCAGTCTGGTTGCTCTCACTATGCCTCTGCCTTTGAGCACTGCCCACACCTGGGTAGAAGCTCTGTCTGTGTCCCTTAGTTTTTCCCTGGACGTCATGCCCTTCATCTCACGTGGGATAGCCCTGTTTGAGGTAAAACTCAGTGCACCAATTCATGGTAACCCCCATTTACTTTTGACAGTTGCCTGTGCCTTTAAGCAGGAGTGTGTACTGTCACTATAGCCTCATGAAATATAGCGCTGCCCTGCCTTGGTCCTCAGCTGGAATGTGCATGGGTCCCGGTCTCTGTTGATTCCACTCTATGATTGGTCATTTCTTTCTTGTTCTTCTTGGCTAAGCCATCACAGCCCCATGACACCCTCTGAGTGTGATGGTGTGGGTGCTAGGAATGCTGGACATTAGAAACCATGATTTTCAAAAACCATTGGGGGAACATTTTAACCTTCCAGGACATTCAGTTGCTGACCTAAGAGTAGCAGTTCTCTTACAAAGGAATTTCAAAGGGAGATTTGAAAGAGAGACTGTTATATTGCAAGTGATAATGAAAATGAAGACAATGCATCCTCCTGGACTGAATCAAGACCTAGGTTTCCTGTCTCATTCATTACCAATGCTGATTTGTCCATGCCTACTATCCCTCTGTGTATCGTGCCTAATCCAATCACACATGCTGTTTTCATTTGCCTGCTTATGTCTTGGCATTTGAAATTATTCCACTTTCCAGTATATAGGACAGATGTACTCACATTCTAGCTGTCTCTGAGGAAGTGAGGAGTGACTCACAAAAACTCATACTCTGCCACAAATGTTGATCTTTAAGGTGATACTGGAGTTGTGCTTTTCTAGTTTGCTTTAAACAATTCCCCTCCCTCTCTCTAACTGCAAGCAGCCAGCGAAGTTAAAAGAGGACGCAGAACTGAGAAGATTTATATAGCTTTCTGATCCCATAGAGCAGAATAGGAACTCTGTTAGGCAGCCATCAGGGCTTGTTAAGCTTTGGGTGGCTCCTACTGGTGTTTCCAAACTGGAGAATCCCCCCCCCCCATTGCCTTGGAGTTTCATAAACAATTTAATTGAGCAGAGATTGTCAGGAAAATGTGTCCGTTCACAAACTGCCACGGACCACTACAAACAGTGCCAAACCATGAACTGGCCAAGATTCATGACAAAGTTTAGTCCCTGAGCCGGTTTGTGCCTATCCCTGTTCCCAATCATGAGGGAATGTACTCCACTGGTTTTATTTAAACAAGTTCCCTGCATCTCTCTGTAACTGTGAACAGTCATGAGAAAAGAGGCTGAAGAACTGAGCTGAGGGTATGTATAGCATTCTGATTCCATAGAGCAGAACGGGAACTCTGTTATTGGCAGTCAGCAGTGCTTATTAAGCTTTGAAGGACTTCTATTGGTGTTTCCAAGGTTGGAGAATTCTGCCTCCCCTGTTGCCTTAGAATTTTTGAAATTGTTCAATTGAGTAGAGAGAGTCTGTCTGGAAAATGTAAAAATTCATGAACCACCACAAACTGCCATGAGCAGGGGCAAAGTTTGTATGGTGTGATTATGAACATCTCCCCCCAACCCCCAAAGTTGGATATGCATTCACTAACTGGAGAGATCATAGAAAAATGCAACGAAGAGGTGGTTGTTAACTTTTGTATTGTTCTAGGCTAAAGAAGATTTTTGTTCTCCATCAGCTTCACTGTGGCTTTCTTTGCCAGGAAGCTGCCCGACAGTTTTAATGTTCTAAAGTTGCCAGACAGTATGCCTACATATGATGCACAGCCAGATACAGTCCAGAATACATAGCCTTCACTTCCACTCTTTGTTCGTAGAGATTCAGGTGGCTGCAGCCAATGATGGTTAGGTTGCATTCAATGCCCATGACACTCTGCTTCCAGACTACCTGAGTCACTATGCAGCTGGTATTTGTCTGGGTTTCCCATTGCTTTGATCTGCTGTGCTCCTTTGGTACAGTAATAAGTCCCGGTGTCTCCTGCCTTCATGACTCTCATCTCCAAATAAACCTCATTCTTGGATGTGTCTCTGGAGATAGTGAGACGGCTTCTCAGGGAGTTCAGGTAGCACTTGTTGTCATCACAATAGATGAGGCACATCCACTCTAGGCCTTTCTCTGGGGGCTGATGAACCCAGCTCACTGTATGCCCGAGTTAAAGAAGTTGTAAATCAAGTTGAGCAAATAAAGCTTGAATTGATGGAGTGGTTTAAACCATATAAAAAATTCAGTTGTGATGTTGGGACCCAGTTCTCTGGTATTTATAACCCAGCTTGGGCTAGTAAACAATTCCCCAGTGTCTGGTTACTCTCCCAGGAAAGTAAAGGAAGATACACAAGACAAGCTGGTCTTCAAACCTAATTGCATCACCCTGACAATCTGCAGTCGCCTAGCACCATGGGGCAGAGCCCCGAGATGGGCTGGTCGGACTGGTATTATGGTGCATCTGTCAAGGCTACTGGGGAAGGACAAGTCTGCAATTGACCTTGCTCAGGTTTCTCAACTTAATTCATCCAATCAGATGCAAAAGTTTCTACTCACTTTTGATTCCCCAAGAATCCCTGCCCTAAGACAAAGGAGGGAAAAAAAACAGATTCAATACCTGGGGAATATACCCTGTGAGAGTTTTTGAGAACTTGGTGGTAAGGCTCTTGGTGACAAAATGTAAGAGCCTGAAAATGCCACACCAGGGTCCCATGGTGGAGGGGTTGATGGAGACAACAATTCCTCAAAGAGACTCTGTAACTCAAGAGGTACCTCAATCCCCTATGGAATGCTTGTCCTCACAACAGGAGATAAAGGGGAGTGACTGCAACTCAGAACAAATGGAAGAACATGAACCAATACTCACAATTAACCTACTATTTTAACCTCTATACTATGAATAAAATCATTTATGGTAGGGTACTCCCAAATCTGATCCTTTTCCCAATCCAATCCCTAGATCATTCCAGCTATCTCTCTTTAAGCTACATTCAACCTATTGTTCTCCTTCCCACATTTAATCTCTAATTTTCCCTGTACATTTATTTCTAACATTATCTTGCACTCCAACATTATAAAGCTTAATCATTAGACATATAAACCAAATCATCAAATTTTACAGTGCAATGGAAGCTATACATTCCTTTCCAACACAAATCTATAAACCATATTCCACTCAATAACTAAAGCTCTGTTTACATTTGATTTCCACTTACAATACCATTACTCCCATCCTACATGTATGAATAATTAATTAACCATAAAGAGAAATTAATTGCCATTAAAATAGATATATATGTATACTTTATCTTTGTACTACTTAATTTCTATAATTCTGAAGTTTACTTTCCCAGCCTACATGCATAAATAATTAATTAGCCATAAGGAGAAATTCATTGCCATTAAATTACATCACAGTCATCCATTCATTTTTCCAACAAAACATATATATATATACATGTATATTTTGACTTCATACAGCTTAAATTTTTCTATAAATCTGAAGTTTGCTTTCCCTTTTCAATGAGTCCACATGACTTTTCTCTTTGCATGCTTGCAGTTTTCTTTCTGGATTATTTCTTCTGTATTTCCATCTAACTATGTCCCAGGTTATGTTTCCACTCTCATCTTTCCACATCCCTCATCTTGATCTCTTTTCCCCCCTTTTATTTTGTTTCTGTGAGGCCCTATATATTTTTTCTTTTGCTATATATGAGCTTGTATCCACGTTTTCTCTTCTACATTTCCACCTGATTATAGTCCTAATTGCCTTTTGAGTCCTACTTTTTCATACACCTTGTTTTGATTTCTTTTTCCTTTTCTTCTTATTTTCATTTCTCCCTTCCTTATCAGACATATTTACTCTCTCCTTTTTTGTTTGTTCTGTCCCTATATACCACACACCCTTCCTCTTTGTTTTTACTTCTATCAATGTGACAGGCTGGGTATTAACAAAGGTCTCTTTAAAACAGCCAGCCTGTTGTTCCTCCACATCGCTGCCGTCCTGCATTAGTTCCTCTTCATTTCTCTCTTTTTCTGTATCCTGTAATGCCACTTGTAAACTTCCAATCACCTTCGCACATGCTTGCCTGATGCCTTTTTGGAGTTCCTCCCTGAGTATTTCCACAAATTGGTCCAATGTGAGGTATCCTACCAAGGTCTCCTCATCAAAGTCCTCCTTCTATGACTCAGCTGTTGCTGCAATTTTAATAATAAAGTTACTTCTACTTAGTCCTCTTTCAAAATTCTTCCAGCAATTCCAACAAGAAAATGAAGTCTCCCGTTAGAAAGTTCCCAAACCCCATGAAAAAAACCAACAATCATCCATTATATTTCTCTGCCACTTTCTTTCTCCGGCCGCTCATACACCTCCATCTTGGGCTCAAAAACGGGGGGAAACTTGCCAAAATGGT